CTCAGATCTCAAAATTTACTCAGCAGCCACTGTTTGAAACGAACTTGATAAATGGGAAATTAGATCGAATCAAACAGTTCAAAATTCGGTCATTTGCAGATAGCGAATGTCGCCTTGGTTTTAGAAGCCTCAATGACGCGCAGTTGTTTCCAAGACTTTTTCATAAAGAATTCTACGAGTACCCATGTTCAGAGGCTCAGCTAGAGGCTTGGCAAGGGGGAGCACAGGATTGACAAAGAGCCCCCTGACAGTGAAAGGCCCCCAAAAAATCGCCGGATGTGGCCAATTTGTGGTTGAGGGTCCGTCTTTCTTTATATATATATATATATATATATATATATATATATATATATATATATATATATATATATATATATATATATATATATATGTGTGTGTATGTATGCATTTGCCGTAAGCTTATAGTGATAGCTGACAAAGGCAAGCGTCAAATGACTTCATGAAATAAATCACCGGCCCTCATCATTGCACAACATTCCAGTCGTTTCTGCGTGGGAAATGGGTCTCACGGGGTCAGACGGACATGGAGTCGCCTGTTCGGTGTTCGTGTTTTCCGACCGATTTAGACACCCGCATTGTCTCAGGGGTTCCTCAAACGGTGCAAGGGGACCTCTGACTGATATTTCAAGTCGCGACCCTACGGGCTGCGATTCTTTATGTGACCTACAGCCAGTCTTGCGGGCCTTTATGCCCTCAAGCCGGGCTTTTAATCGTCGTTTCCAGTAGGCCACCGGGACTCTCTTTGAGCCTCATCGACGCTTGGTCAACTCGGGGCCCTTGCGAACACAGAGCCCTCTGTTAGGCGCCGTGGGCCCCTGACAGATACAAGGCCCCAGACCAGTGTAAATCACTGGTTCCGGCTTTATAGCTGATTGAGAATCGTGTCCAGCCTATGTTGACACAGAGCTGACTATGTGGTACGGTTGTACCTGACGGGCATACAGCTCCATATCGACGCGGGGGGGGAGGGGGTCCCCCATCGACTTAAAAGGACCTCTGACCGTTATTTGAGTGCCCGTCTTCGCAGGTCGGGGCCCATGAATAAGACCCAGACCAGCCCTTTACGTCCTTAGACCCTCCAACCGAGCGCTTGATCGCTGAACCCGGTGGGCCCTCTGGGCTCTTCGGACCTCCTCGAACACTGCCTCTGGCCGACTCGGGACGCATTGACAACACAAAGCCCCTGTTAGGCGCTGTGGAGTCCCAAGCAATGTAAATCGCTGCCTCCGCCTTTACCCCTACTTTGGATATAGGCCCTTAGTCCCATGCCACCATGGAGCCGACTGTGCGTTACTGCTTGCGTCTGACCGAAATATAGGCCGTTATCGACTCGGTGGACCCCCGGTCAGTGCGCGGGGCCCTCTGGCTGGCATTGGAGTAGCTGGCCCTGCGGGTCGAGACCCCTAATGAGGGCTGGCATTTCAGGCCCTTAACAGTAGGTTCCGAGGGGCCGAACCCCTCGGAACCAAGGGGGGGGGGGCACGTGCCCCCTGTCGCCCCTGCCTGCGCTACTGCCCACGCTCGTCAGGTGGATACATCATCCATATTCAGATTCAGGTCGATATTCGAGATTCAGCTGACTCCTCAGACTGGCCTGAAACTTTGTATACGGATGCAGGCCAACCTTCTGAAGATAGCAAGCGCAAAATCCCGGACCGGTACGCCTTAGTTCCAGGCCAATCTGAGGAGTCCGCTCCATCCCGAACATGGACCTGAATCTGAATGTGAGTGTGGTGCCAACTTGACGAACGCATCTAAATGTGAATGTGGCACCAACTTGAATGTATCTGAATGTGAATGTGGTACCAACTTAAAGAATGTCGAACATTCGACCATCCGCGACTCGGAAGTCAAATTGACGCAGAACAGACGAACAATCTTTGGCTGTTGCAAAAAAAAGATTGTTGGAGACCTTCGGTCCCCCAGGCCGAGGAGGTGATATAGACCGGGGTTGGTATGGGCCTAAATTTAGTAGATTTGAAGCCCAAATAGCGGATGGCAATGAGGCGCACGTTATTCAGAATGAAGGAAATACACGTTGCGCCAAGCATCTTCGGCGAAGCAGCGAAATCTGTCAATGATTTCAGCACACTCGTGTCATCTTGTATCCGAGCCCCAGAGCTTGGTGTGAGGTCTTCCTCAGTTTCAGCATATGAATAGCCGATGTCTCAAGAAATTGTGACGTTGGAAACGGTATCTAAGGGAAACAAGCTGACAATGTTTTTGAGAGAAATGGGAATTTAGCATAATTTGGCCCAGCCTGGATTTGAGGAGCGTCGAGTTCATAGGTCAGGGTGTACTTTCCTACCTAACGTTAGAAAAGATCATTGTACACCATTCGTCGTGTTTAAGGCATGACATATCGTAAATAATCTCGAAACAGGTAGAATCATGCTCCTACCTTCGAATTTCAATAACTTCGATGGCGGGCCCCCGAGCGCCGCGCGCACCGCGCCGCACCGCCTGGACTCCCCAGCGCCGTTTCCGCGTTGCCGTTGCGTAAATACAATATTTCTGCGTACCAAGAACTGTACAAAATGTACGGGACCAAAGTAAACCATTCGTCATGTTTAAGGCAGGACAACCATAACCTAACTGCGAACCATAAAAATATTTACTAACCATAAACCATACTTACCATAACCATATTTACCATATAAACCATATTAACTGCGAACCATACTATAACCATAACTATAACTATAAACTATACTATATAAACCATACTATAACTAGGTTAGGTTAGTAGGTTAGGTTAGGTTAGGTTAGGTTAGGTTAGGTTAGGTTAGGTTAGGTTAGGTTAGGTTAGGTTAGGTTAGGTTAGGTTAGGTTAGGTTAGGTTAGGTTAGGATATGTTCTGGACTATTCTGGCCTGCGTGTTTCATAAATGTACCCAAACTCGACAAGAAACGATTTTGGTTGCTTTATTATTGTTACCTTGGTCCCGTACATGTTTTATGGTTCTTGATAAGCAGAAATATTGTGCTTCTATCTGTTTTGAAATTATTTACGATATGTTCCGCCTTAAACACGACGAATGGTTTACCTTGGTCCCGTACATTTTGTAGAGTTCTTGGTAAGCAGAAATATTGTATTTACGCAACGGCAACGCAGAAACGGCGCTGAGGAGTCCAGGCGGTGCGGTGCGCGCGGCGCTCGGGAGCTCGCCATTGAAGTTGTTGAAATTCGAAGGTAGGAGCATGATTCTACCTGTTTTGAGATGATTTACGATATGTGCCACCTTGAACACAACGAATGGTGTGTAATGATTTTTTCTAACGTTAGGTAGGAAAATACACCTACACCTCAGTTCATGGTGTGTGCAGATGTCATGGGTCACATATTTAGCTAATCATCTTCGCCACTATAATCTTTTTCAACCAAACAAGGATAGCGCTTCATAGTGTAATAAGGGCATCAATCCATGGTTCTACCAATACTTATCAATGGTTAATACCCAAACAACAACCTTGAAAAAAACAAATGCAAAAAGACTGCCATTGATGGGTCAGTGTCTGAGGTATGCTTGTGTACCTCATTTGCTTGGTCTCGCTGTAATATCACAAATTGTTTGAAAGATATGATCTTTAATGCACATTCCTACATCAGCCATATTATAGGATAACCATGCTTTGTAATTAAAGGCGAGATGATAAAGCATCTGGTTTTTTAAACTTACAGACTACAGTGTATTCTGCTTTAAAGAAGGTGATTGATATAGAAGGGGTTTTTAAGATGTGATAAGTAACTTCTGTTACTCACAGACATAACACATGAACATATGCCTACTGTGTTTAAAGATTTGGCATCATACATGGTCTAAAGCATGACATATTTAAGTGAGCTTGATTTTGAATTTGAATGAATGTGAGTTATTGCCACATGACAACAATGCTGCCAGATAAGTCCAAGGTATCAGTGATGCAGGGATGCTGATAGGATGGTAATTGATGCATGATGTGATTGCTCATGCTTAATGAGGCAATTTAAGTTGGGCATTATGCTCATGGTACATGCTTCCTCAGAATTCACACTTGAATATATATGTGCAGAAATTCTGACAGAATACCCATTGTATTATTATCAATTATTGTTTGTGTTCCTAGGCCCAAGATACTGTGCCTGTCAGGTAATGGAGCTGCTGTGTGCAGCAAGAGCAGGCCTTCTGCATGGCACCATCTGCCTGGTGCAGCACTCCCGATTACCGCTGCAAGCAGTCCGCTGGCCCCACTGCTCCCAACTGCATGTTGGTCTCCCGGCACTCAGTCAGCTGCCCAGCCAGCTGCCCAGGCAGCGCACCGACTTCAAGCAGCTGCAGAGTAGTGCCAACGAGCTGCTTCACTCGGCCCTGTCTGGGTGCAAGGAGCCTCTGACCGCCGCCGACTGGGATCAGCTGACGTCCTCCTACCGCAGCCTGGTGCCAGCGGCCAGCCTGGACGCCATCGACCACAAGGCGCTCAATGCTTGCAAGACTGCGGGCGACTTTGCGTCGGCGCGCTCTCTCGTCCGGCACCGGCAGGCGACGGGCACGGTGGCCGCTGCCAACCTAGCCGTCTTCCTTGAGCTGGTGGCCACGTGCGGCGACGGCCGTGGGTGACGACGACGCGCTGGCGGTACACGGCGCGCTGGTCGATGCGCCACTGGACCGCGTCAGTGCCGGACGCGCCGTGGTGGGCCTGAGCGCCACGCGCCACTGGCGCCTGGCGCCGGCTCTCCTGCCGGCGGCGCGCCAGGGTGGCCACCTGCCGCGTCAGGCGCTGACGGCGCTGACGGCCGCCGCGTTTCGCGCCGACGACCGCCACCTGGGCTGGACGCTGCTCGAGGAGCTGGCGACGGCGCTGGTGCGGCCCGGCGACGCTGCGCTCGACGCCTGGCTCGGCCGCTGCGAGGCGCGCGCCCGCCAGGAGGCACGCGCGCGCCTGAGCGGCGAGCGTGCGGACACCGCGGAGGTGGCGGCGGCCGAGGGGGGAGCGGCCGAGATGGTGGCGCGACTGACACGCTACCTGGCGGAGAGTGGTGTACTGCTGAACGCCGACCAGGCGCTGCGGCTGCGCGAGCTCTTCACGGTGCGGCTGGGACAGCGCTGGACCGGCGAGGCCACGCACGTGTCCAACAGGTGATGCCTGCCCGGCGGGTGGGCTGCTACGGCCGTGTCAGAGTGATGGAGTCAAGAGCTGGCCCTTTAAAGGTAGTCTTGTCTTGGCCTGGGCTAGGTTGATGTTCGAAAAAAACATGCTAGCGCTATGGAGCGTCTGGTGGGATGCTTCGTATGGTGGGACGCCTTGGATCATTTTAAAATTTAAAAGCAAGGGGCTGCCAGACCTCCGTTCCGCGCACGTCAGCTTTCTGGCTACCGCATTTTGGGCTGTTCAGGCATTTAGACGGCTGCCGCTGTTGCTCTCACCGACCGCGTCGCTGTCCGGGCCAGTTATCGCGACTCCTTCAATGGTTAGCCAGATCATTCGCACCTGTGTCCCGCGACTCGGAGAGGAGGCACGGGTGCCCGCTCTTATCCAGCTGTTCTAGGACCAACGCTAAGCTGGTGGTCCGGCCTGGCGCCCCACCCGTGACCCAGCCCGCGCCATCCGTGACTTTACCCGCTCGCTACCCGCCCCAGTCGTGACCCGGCCCACCCGCTGCCCGCCCCAGCCTTGACCCGGCCCACCCGCTGGCCGTCCCAGTCGTGAACCAGCCCGCGCCATCCGTGACTTTACCCGCTCGCTACCCGCCCCAGCCGTGACCCGGCCCACCCGCTGCCCGCCCCAGTCGTGACCCAGCCCACTCGCTGCCCGCCCCAATCGTGACCCAGCCCGGTCGTTGCCGGCAGGGGTCGCTGCGAGCACTGCGGCCTGGTGCTGCCCGAGGCGGTGCTGAGCGAGGCCGACTTCGCCGAGGTGCGCGACGCCCTGGACCGGCACGTGCTGATCGGTGAGGACGTGTTCCAGACGTCCACGCCGCAGGAAGTGGAGCGCTTCCGCCGTTTCGTGGCGCGCACCGCCCCCTACGACGTCGTAGTGGACGGGCTCAACGTCAGTTTCGCCTGCTCCAAGAGAAAGGGGTCGCCGTTGTCACGCGCGGTGAGGAAAGGGGCTCGCCGCACACTAATGGTGAAGAAGTGATTTGGGGTTCTTACATTTATCTGAAAGGGTTATCCCATGCGCCGTGTAAGGATAGGGTTTTTCTTGTCTGCGCTTTCAGGAAAGCGGGTCCCTTCACCTGCCCTGTGAGGAAATAGGTCTTCCCTAAGGGCGCTTTAAAAGACAATTACTGTTAACATGCGTGGGTGAAAATGAATGCTTGGGTAAGGCTGTTTTTATTCAGATACTCCAGCTTGTGTTGTCCAGAACTCGATGGCCGCTCGTCCTGGCTTTATTTTTCACCAGGTTGTGTGGAAAATACCCGCACGTGCAGGTGTTCCGCACGCTCTGGTGGGTGGGCCCAAATTTTTCGCACATTCTGGCGAAGATTACCGTCAATCTGCGAGAACCCCAGAGAATTCTGGCCCACCACAGCGCAAGTATCTGAATGAAAACAGTAGTAGACAAACATCCTTGTATACCCAACTGAAAAACATCAACACACCCAGAGAGGGAAAGAGTCCGACGCGCGGGAGGTAAGGGTCGCACTGTTCCTGAATGGTAAGTAACGGCAACCCTTCTGGTGTTAGCACAATCCGGACCAGCCGCCGCGCTCGTCTGGCTCGCGCTGAAACACCAGAATGTGTAAGGTGCAGCGCACAGACTACCGAATCATGCGGTTATTTGGAGGTACGCAGCAAAGAGTAGTCCGTTTTGCACCTGGGATGTGCTGCTGCGTGATATCATGATGCTCGACAACTTGCATTAAACTCGCGTGAGTATCTCGCGATGCGTCCTTGAACTCGTGCCAACGTGCCCGGATGTGCTCTGCCCTAGCTGCGTCTGCGGGACGTGTAACGTGCCGCGTGCACGGCCGTCTGTCTCAGCTCGTCCAGGTGGTCGATCACTTCGCGGTTCGAGAGGGCAAGAAGGTCCTGGTGATTGGCCGCTACCACATGCAGGGGTGGAAGAAACAAGACATGACGTATGTCAAACGTCACGCCCTTCTCTTCACTGCAGACAACATGTGAGGAGAGCACTTAATCGTTTTGTTGGTCTATTTCCCGTTGTGAATGTTCTGCAGTGTGGTGGTTTTGTCGGGATTGGTAGCCTGCTGGCCATTGCATGAGAACATTGATTTTGCGTCGTCCGTGCGTTGCATATCGATGTATTTCACAATCACGGGAATAATCAGCAAGCAACACAAGGTCTTATTCTTTAGCTATGTTACGTATTTTTCTCGTTTATATTCTTAACGCGGTCAACTCATAATTTTTTAACATATCTAGAATGCATTTGTTAAAGATACGCTACAAACTCGGCGACGGCAGACCTTCTGAGTAATTAGAGGGTGAGGGGGTGAAGAGTGGGGGGGAGGGGGGAGGAATGTGTGAGCGAGAAGAGGCGAACACAATGTTATGTCTTTCTTTCCATACGATACCATGGCCAATGCCGTATCTTGCCGAAGATGGGGACACTTGCTACCCATCTAATTCCCGCTCCAGTACTAACCTTTTTTTTCTATCCATGGACGAAGGATACTGAAAATATGGATGTGACGGAACTGCCAGAAGGAGCGCTATTCAATATCAAACCATAGGATTATGCTTATTGTGTAGGAAGTTGGTATGAAGACTGCCGCACCTGCCGCGTCGCATTCTCCAGTCGTAGGTCTGCTCGTTAGACATGCAGGTAGACGCGGTATGATAATAGCCGCCGTCACCACTCAAAATAGTTTGAGAGTGCCCACACGACATGCGCAGCTAGATGCTTTAAGAATTCCTCCTCAGAATTCCTGGGTTAATGACTCGCGGAGTAGATGGCTAATTGCTGTTCGTCGGACTTCTTTATTCCGCGGAATGTTATCTTATTTATGGTCCCATAGCTGTCTCCCCGTGATGCTCACCGTGGCGCCGTCTCCCCCGCACGTAGTGCTCACCGTGGCGCCGGCTCCCCCGCACGTGATGCTCACCGTGGCGCCGTCTCCCCCGCACGTAATGATCACCGTGGCGCCGTCTCCCCCGCACGTAATGCTCACCGTGGCGCCGTCTCCCCCGCACGTGATGTTCACCGTGGCGCCGTCTCCCCCGCACGTGATGCTCACCGTGACGCCGGCTCCCCCGCACGTGATGCTCACCGTGACGCCGGATCCCCCGCACGTGGTGCTCACCGTGACGCCGGATCCCCCGTGCGTGGTGCTCACCGTGACGCTGGATCCCCCGTGCGTGTTGCACGCTATGCGGGCGACAAGTTTATTAACGACGGTGTGACGACAGATCCTATCTTTATGAACACGACCAGGCATGGGAACGAAGTCAGTGTTTGGGGCTCAAAGCGGAATCCGAAGCCAAGACAATGACACAAAGCCGAAGTCATAGTCGAAACCAAGGCCGGTGGCTTTGGGGTTTGGGACTACAAGGCCGGAACGAAGCGACTTGTGGCCTCTCGGTTTCAAGACGCGAGACAATCCGAAACCAGTGACATCAAACTTTGTACACACGGAGCCAAAGCCAAAGCCATCAGTTGCAAATCAGAAGGCTGATAATAGGGTCCAATATGATGGGCTATGCTAGTTTCGCGGAACTTAGGTCATTTTTGCGTTTGCTGAAATGATCTGACATCATCTAATATACGAGCTCTGATTGAGACTTGGAATGATTGAGACGATGTGTTAGCACAGCCAAGGGAGGATTTGTTTCGGACGATAATCTTCGTCCTGGGTGTCAGTATACACGCAACATTCCGGGCAGTTACTTCTGCGGGCATTCTCAGGCTTCACTGGTCCTGAGAACGGCCGTATGGCTTTGGCTCTCGGCTGTTAATGCGTCGCAGCCTTCAACAGCTGTATGCTGGATCCAAATGAAGTAACAACTGGCAGGCAAGACTGTTTTTGCGAGAGAAAGATGCACTGCGGCGAAAAAATCGCCATCGCAAAACCGAAACCAGCCGCGGGAATTCGTATGAGCCGAGGCCGGGTCATGATTGGAAGCTTTCGAAGCCCAGGTCGAAGCCGAAGGCAGGTGCCAATGACGTCACAAATCTGAAGTCGAAGTCTGAGCCAGTCGTTTGAATCGGTGGATCTATCTGGATCACGGGATCATCGATGGGATCCCCAGACATCAAATCCTGGCAACATCCCAGTTGGGAGGGTGAGGGGGCGGGGGGGGGGCAAGCCATCGGTGCGTGTCCGACTCCCCCTCCCGAACGCCTTGAGACACCGGGCACGGTGCTTCAGGGCGCTCCCAGCATGACATCTGACTTCGGGCCCAGAGAGCGGGGCTTACACCCAGCACATTCCCTCAGCACTTAACTGGCGCCGTCGAGATATGTCTCGTTGGAGGCTGCCGCAGTAAAGGCCGGATCGGGGCCCGAATTAAATTTAAATTTAAACTTAAATTTTGGGAATTAGGAATTATCAGGGAAGGCCATCGTGTCTGCTGTTTTGATTGTTTCGGTGATGTTGATGAATTTGAACTTCGGGTGTGTCAACTGGTTTGCTACACGACTTCCGTGCCATGCGACACCACATGCTGAAAGTTGAATTTTGCCCAGTTTGGAACGGAACGGCTGCCTGCGGCCTGCTCGCCCGATCCACCATTTACGCCAGGCCGTGACTCCGGTGACTGATGTGACGAGCGGACGTCACGTCAGTCGCGTCAGCCACTGACGCATGGACACGCCGCCAGGTCGGCGGACGACGCCTTCCTGCTGTACGCCGTGATGCACTCGCACCAGCGCACGCAGTTCGTGACGGGGGACTTCTTCCGGGACCACGCGGCCCGGCTGCCAGCCGCCATCCGCTCCAAGTTCAACCGGCTGGTGCGCTCCAACCGGCTGGAGGTGGAGCACGTCACCAGCGCCGGCAACCTCAACATCAAGGTCAGCGGCAGCTGCGGCCAGGCTGCGGCTGTACCTGCTCCGGCGGCGGGCGCCGTTGCGGGCTGGACCGGCCGGCGCGCCCTGCAGCCCACCCGGCTGTGGTGGGGTCTCTGACGCTCACGGGAGCGGGTGAAAGCTCGGACGCTCAGAAACAATGTTTTCGTGTTGCCTTTCACTCGCGATTTTGGAGATTTTGTTTGGGGGGGGGGGGCTTATGCGTCCCATAAAGTTGTGGATGGAAACAACCGTTGTGGAGACAAGACTCTCAGAGCGAAACTACGTGACTACGCCAGCTGTGTGGGGTTCATATGAAGGACCTTACAGTCAGCGGTACTTGCCTCCCTGAATGACCACTTATGCTTTCGTAGACGTTCGTCGGTCTGACGGTGGTGATTGCCGTCAGTTGTTGGTACTTCACACAAACCAGCAAAAGTGTCCCCCTTGACCAGACCATCTGTGCTCAGTGCCGTTAGATAATGAGCCTGCACACATGACTCGGGTACAGCTGACCATGCCTTGGAACCTGACCCGTGGCCTCCGCCGCCAGGTGCCGATTATGCACGAGGTTCGGGCGCAGTGTGATCCGGCCGGGGGCTGGCACGTGCCCTTCACGGAGGAGCCCCAGTCCAACACGAGCACGGCCACGCCTAGCCCCACGCAGCCGGTCACCAACAGATGGCTCTGCCTTCGACCGGCCAGCTAACGGCGGCGGCCTCCCCGGGCCGGGCCCGGATCCGAGACGCGCGTCTCTGCCGCTCAGTTCCCTCAGTCTCCAGCGGTGTCTTAGGCTGCCTGGACTTCGCAGGGAGCCAGCGGTGAAATGTGCCGCCGGTGGCCGCATTTGTACGCAGAAGACCATGAGCGGTTTGGCATGGACTGTGAGCTGCTTGCCTCAGCAGCAGCTCTCTGCAGCGTTCTGCGAGGGCACCATTGCAGCTACATTCTGAATGTGCTGCTGGAGCTCTCCTGTGACTGGAGTGCACTGTTAGCTCATGTTCCGGAAATGCGAATGGCCTGATGGCCGGTGCACGTTTGAAAGTAGGCGGCCGACGCCCGGGTGGTTGTGCTGCCACCTATTCCGAGCTCGGCCGCATGGTATCGGTATGCGCCACGCTGGTCTGGGACGGTCACCCGACGGGCTTGCGAAGTGGTTTTTGCCGTATGCTCGTTTTTGCGTGCTGTTCCCTTGTAACAAGAATGTCGCGTGTGCCCATGTTCATGTAGCGGCGAGTGTCTTGCGGCTTTCAGACACCGACGTGAACCGTGAGTGGTGCTTTAATAAGAAGAACACCAATATGCATGCCGCATGATGTGTTTCTCAAGAAACAGGAAGTTTAGGCCGACTGAATCTAGGACAAATCTAAAAAAAGGTTAAACTGGGTATGTAACACCCATTGATACCATGCGCATCATTGGCTATCGTGGCAAATTAGAAACGAGTCCGTAGGTCGTCTGTCGATTAGAATAGCAAAATATGTAGGAATGGCAGGTGTTAGGGTAGGTAAAGTATTTAAGAATGATGGTAAAAATTCTGAGGAAGAAGGGCTTTCAGTCTTATTAGTATTTCGACTTGCGATCTATCGCATACCATCGTATCATATGGGCGGATTGATCGTGTTCAAATGAACGAAGTATTTATGCCCAATCACGGATTTCTGTCATGCGTGGGTATATGTTATGGGCGCCAAATGACCACTGCAGTCAAGGCGCCCCTAAACTCAAATAAACAACAACAACAAAGGGTGTATGTTGCGCGAATAAAGGAATGACTCAATCACAAAGGTTCAAAGAGGTGGTGTCCACGGCAATTTTGAGATTCATGAGGCCATTCTTCTTTCATAGACAAAGCTTAAAAGGGACATGGCGCCGTTCCAAAGAAAGGTGGGTTGGTGATGGTATATCACCAGGGTATCTGCAAGAACTCACTATGGGGTGGGGGGAGTGGAGTCGGACTCGTTAGTCACAACAGACAACATTTAACAGAAAACACGTTTTAGTACCTCGTTGGCTACCGCAGTTTCTTGCATGGCACAAGCATCGCCGCATGTCTAGTTTTTGGGTTTTGATGGATACCAACCTCGATGTTTTAGTTGTAAACATTATATCCACATACAATACAATTGGCAACGGGCGGCGCGTACCCCGGTATCTCCCCCCACGATGCACCAGCGTTCAAAGTTATGTCATTGATCGTGTGCATGCGTGCGTTATTAAAGCAAAAATGCAGACGACGTTTGATTGGAAATCATGGGGAGTAGGGGAGGTGGAGGCGATGCCTTTGAAACACTGGCTCTGTAGTCACGTACATTCAATAACCGAGAATTGGGCTCTGGTGGACAGGCAATTCCCTCGTTGGATTGATTGACACGGTCAGCGATGATACGCTGCATTGGATAAAGAACATTGGTATAGCCTAACTACTCAAGAATTTTCAGTGTGAGCCTGAGAGAGCCCGAAACAGATAGCTCCTGTCGGTAGCGCCACGGTAAAATGTTTTTTTTTTGTGATCTCTTCCTGAGGTGCTGCTGCTCTACTAATGTTCACTTCCCGGATCTCAGTAATTCCCACAAGTTGTCACACGTTCATGACTCCTGGACACACGTCTCTTAAAGCTTTTGATGGGTTTTCTCTTTTCATAATCAGCTACAACACTGCATTCATCACGGGTTTGTCTCCAGATCCATTCGATGTACCGGAGTGCTTTTCAATATTTTGGGCTACGTCATTGGTTGCGTCATTTAGAGGAGCAACAGGTGGCAGATCTTACCAAACGTTGGCTACCGCTAGCCAGCGGACTAGCGCGGCAAACTGTAGCGATTGAGTCTGCTTGCCTGGCACCACCGATGCGGTGAGGGTGCGCGTGCCGGTCCCGTTTGACTGTGAGTGTTTCGTTAATAGGTAGAGAACAAAAAAGATGTACAACGACGACGAAAATGGATACATGGAACAGGAAGATGAGTGGGAGAGAGAAGGCCTCTTGGATCCTGCCTGGGAGAAGCAGCAGAAAAAAGTGAGTTCCAGTGCATCATTGTGTTGTCCCCGTCCGCCGCGAAATCCAAATGAATTCAAACTAGATTTGCCAGTTCTTCTTTTTTTTATCTCAGCGTGACAATTGTGATAATGGTATGACCCTCACGGCATAATTTTAACAACACAACGTAGGTAAAGGAGCAATTCTGAGAACAAGAACATCCAAGATCTGCTTGCATTAGGCATTACACCTTCACAGCTCTCTGAAATTGCATAATACAAGCTATAAAGTTGGTACAAGCTATCCCAACACACCAGTGTTAAATTTCTGATCCTGCTATAAATTTCTAATATCTGATCAAGAGATGCACCTCACATGATAGGATTACACTATAGATGGCTGACTGTCAGCATAAGTGTCAGTTGCATAGCATGGCATTGCATAGCATTTATGCATACCTGGGCACCTGACCTACTGAGGTGACATTTGTCAGATGTTATGTAATAGACAGACAGTGATTCTCTTTGGCTAACCCAATCAAATTTATATCAGATGCTTCATCATAGAGCCAGTCTGCTTAGTATGGGTTACTTTCATGCAATTTGGTTTTTTGCACCCAGAATTTTAGGTACTTTGAGGAAGGACTCCATGCTTAAAATCAGTATGTTTGGTATGCATCAGGTGGTTGGACAGAAGAAGTGTACAAGACATGGGGGAGGTGTGCAAAGGCCATTGAGAAAAATCATGTATGCTTGTAACTTATCAATTATATTAAACAGGACACAGTTTTTAGGCTTGGGTTAGACCCATGTTCACTAATGCACAACATTGTGTATAGCCAAATTTGTCAGCAGAGATGCATTTAGCAATTTGTATTTTTACCAGGTATATCAATCATGAGTGGTGGATATACATCCACCCTTTGAACTCTTGCAGTGATTCATCAGTGGCTCATCAGAACATATTGTTTGTGTAGATTCCCATTTTCATAGAAAAGACAGTAATAATAGTCTGATTTCTTGAAAAACCAGGAAAGTAGATAAAATAGATTGGTTGATATTTTGGCAACATGCCTGTATCAAAACAAGAGCAGAATGATGCTTGAAACAAATCACTAAAATCCCTTGTAATTATATCATCATGTCAGAGGTTGAGTTATGGTAGCAAGATTTGCCTAGTCTAGCATGAGGTAAACCTGTTTGTGTCACAGTTCTGTTGTGTTTATCACAGGCTTACATGTCTAAGAACCAGAATTTGGCTACAGATATTGAAACACTGTCTTAGCTATTGTCACTGCCTTTAAATTTTCATATGTGCAACACAATATGGAAAATTCAAGTTAAAATTTAAAAAACTTAAATGGTTTTTCTTTTAGAAATAAGGCCATTACTACTATCTTATCTGTATGGATAATGTTCTGCATGTACACACTGAACAACTTACATGGTTTTGAACTGAATAAATTCCTTTTTTGGTGAAGTGACCTTTTCCTGATAAATTTGACAACTATTAACATAACTGGTGCTGTTAATGAGCTCAGTGCTAATGATTGGGCAAGAAGAGATGATCACTAGAAATCTGGGTATGAATGTTTTCCAAATGTTTTGGCAAAATGGGGAATTAAATTTGTTAATGCAATGCTGTGATGCCCTTAAAGTCCTTGGTCCTAACTAGCACTGTGATGCAAATGATATTTTAGTGCAGATGGCTGATTTCTAACATTGATTTGCATGTTTTTTTTAATCAGCTGAAATTTTTCACATATGCTCCTCAATGCATTATTAAAGTATCAAGATTTCTCTGAGTTTCTTACTGCTGCTCAAATAAACACATTCTAATGAACTGAAGTGGGTTTTCATTTTATGGTTTACATTTTACTTGAATTTTACATTTTGGGCTGCACATTTGACAATTTAAAGGCAGTGACTGTAGCTTAAATGAAATGTTTCAATATCAGCAGCCAAATTCTGGTTCTTGAATGACATGCAAGCATGTGATAAACACAATATTGCTATGACACAAATGGGTTTAGGTCATGCCAGACTAGGCAGACCTTGCCACCATAACTTAATCTCTGACTTGATGATATAATTACAATGGATTTTAACACTGTGTTGCAAGTGTCATGCCTTGAAAGGATCTGTAACTGTGCCATGTCACCAAGCAGGGCTGTGGTTGCAGTTTTGTATCAGGACGTTTCTGGATATTTCTTGATTGGCATGTGTCACGGAGAGGTCATGCCATGTTATGTCATTGTAGGGAGGATGGCTTTCAGGTGATATTATGTTCACAGACACACATGTATACATGCATGTGTAAATTTGCTCTTGTTTTGTCTTACAAGCACAAAGGTGGGACATGTAAATGTTCAAATACACATTCAGTATGCCTGTTATATTCCAACTATGCATATGGAACACTCTGTAATGCTCTTTTTCTGTAAACTATTGATGTACCTTTTCTTACATCTCCATTCTTTTTCCTTATCCCACCTCTGATGGAGATCAGGAACATCATGCCTTGTGTTGATCCAAGTTTGACAAAACCTGCTGTGGAAAAGCTGTGTTGTCATTACCAAATGAAAAAATCGTTTTCGGAATTCACGTTTTTGTATATCTCGATCACGCGGTTTATCTCCGCTCGCACGCGTATGTTGTGTTAGTATACACAAGTGCTTGTCTTATTTAGCAATGCAGTGATCTCGGAGAACTTTTCCGGCTCACCCAGCGACGTGATAGAGCAACGTAAACACTGGAGTTTGCTGACGAACGTGGCAAATGCCGTTTGGGCTTCAAGCTTATTGCTTGGAAGCAATGAAAAAGAGGTGCTTTACAATGACGCCCCATCTGCTGTTCGTCCGTCCTGGTCTACAATAAGCGTAATGTCCGACATTTTGAAATGTGCTTCTCAGGCCGCTAAATAGAGATATTGGAAATAGGGAGCTCCTGAAGGCCTTTGTCTGCAAGTTCCCCTGCCCGCGGGCGATGTTGCGCTCCTAGGCCGTGAAATATATACCTAGACGAGTGGTGGAGAATAGCGAATCTGCAAGCCCGTAGAGTGTAATGTCAAAAGGCGTACTCATGCTGCCAGTGCTCTTTCCGGTAACGCCACAGGGCGAGCCCAGTCACGTTTTCCGGGCTGTTTTTTCAGCGAATTTTCAAGTTTAAGGCTCCGTTTTCACGGCCATTGGTGGTGATTATTTGTGGACCTGAGCTGCACTGATCCCAGGGCTCAGCTGTCGCCGGGCTGCCTTAAGGAGGTGGTGTATGTTGGCGCCCTCCCGAAGACCCGCCGACGGCCGCTGGAATTACTTTTTGGCGTGGTGGCGGGGCGCCAGGCAGCATTTTTCATGGGGGCGGCTGCCAGCCAAATGTACGAATGCCACCTGGCGGTAAACTATTTGTTGCCTCTAAAAACTTGAAAAAGTTGAATTGCTCTTCGTGTGCAAGTGGCAGCCCATGGTGATATCATCAACAGAATTAATAATGCTCGCGTCATTCATGAATGCCCCTGCAGTGAGAGCTGAATCAGTGACACCTTATACCAAGCTCCACTTGTGTCCGCCCATCACTGCATCCCCATGCTCCTTATCAGTCGCCTAGGTGAGGTTCATATCAAGTCCTCGAGAAGAGGCCTACACGTCGTATGTGACATCTTCTCTCTGGCCGTTGGGATCGCCCCTCATTCTCTACATCCCATGGAGAGAAACTCAGCAGTAAGATTCGGAGCTGTCCAGCAAAAGGCGGTCGGTGTTTGAGGCGGCCGGGGCCGGCGGCCGCTGGCAGCCAGGCACCCGCCCCAGTCAGCTGTTTTCCCTGCGCCTGCGCACCGGCCGGCCGCTATTTCGGGTGCTGGCGCCGGCCCGGGCGCGCGCGGCCGGCCGGGCCGGCGGCGGCTAAGGTTACCTGACGAGACGGTGCGGCGCCCAAAAATGGCCGGCACACCGCACATCGCCGCTGCTGTCGCCGCCCGGCTAATGGCCCCGGCGACGGAAGCGACGGACCGGCGGACCGGCGGACCAGCCGGACGTCAGGCCGGCTCCGGCTCCGGCCACTGGGAGATGGCAGTGCCGGCTCCGGCCGCTGGGAGATGACGGCGCCGACTCTAACCGCTGGGAGATGACGTCGCCGACTCCGACCGCTGGGAGATGACGGCGCCGATTTCAGCCGCTGGGAGATGACGGCGCCGACTCCGACCACTGGGAGATGACGGCGCCGACTCTAGCCGCTGGGAGATGACGGCGCCGACTCCGGCCGCTGGGAGATGACGGCGCCGACTCCGACCGCTGGGAGATGACGGCGCCGATTTCAGCCGCTGGGAGATGACGGCGCCGACTCCGACCGCTGGGAGATGACGGCGCCGATTCCAGCCGCTGGGGGATGAAGGCGCCGGCTCAGGCCACTGGGAGTTGGCTCAACCTCTCAGGTGTGCCCCAGGACATTCGAACAGTCCTGATTAAGGCGCCGATTCCTCGAATGTAGACAACAACCTCTGGTCGGAGAAATTAGCCGCGTGGAGAGTTAACAAGTTTAGATGTGTACTGCTAAATTTGGGGTAGTCGGATATTGTAGATTAGGACTGCAAGATGTTATTTATAATTTGCCTGAATTATGGAACCATTTTGACGGCGAAACCTACACCCGGTCCATTTACAAGTTTGTGAGTATGGGGGACAAAGGTTCTCTGGTGCCTCTGCATGAATTTACGATCACGGATTCTGGGACAATGAAACGATCAAGGTAAGATGCTGAGCTGTGATTAGTGTGAAAATCACCTCAGCGCGCGATGCCATGCAAATATAAATATGTTTGCCAGAGCCCCGAAGAAGACCGAAGTCATCTGACAATTGTATATTTCCATGAAGGGGGCGACTGAAGTTAGGAGGAGTCCAAAAGTGAGAGCCAGAAGTTGTCCGTACATGCGTCAATTTCCAAAAAAAAACTTTATTTCGACATACTGGTTCCAACCAAGTCCCTGAACCGAAACGCTATCGTTCGGCACAAGATGCCGTCTGGATAAGTCGATTGAAGAGGGCTGAA